TTGAGGAGTTTTGCATCTATATTCATCAGTGATATTGGTCTGTAATTTTCTTTTTTTGTAGCATCTTTGTCTGGTTTTGGTATCAGGGTGATGGTGGCCTCATAGAATGAGTTTGGGAGTGTTCCTTCCTCTGAAATTTTTTGGAAGAGTTTGAGAAGGATGGGTGTTAGCTCTTCTCTAAATGATTAATAGGATTCACCTGTGAAGCCATCTGGTCCTGGACTTTTGTTTGTTGGAAGATTTTTAATCACAGTTTCAATTTCATTGCTTATGATTGGTCTGTTCATATTTTCTATTTCTTCCTGGTTCAGTCTTGGAAGCTTATACCTTTCTAAGAATTCGTCCATTTCTTCCAGGTTGTCCATTTTATTGGCATAGAGTTGCTTGTAGTAGTCTCTTAGGATGCTTTGTATTTCTGCGGTGTCTGTTGTAACTTCTCCTTTTTCATTCCTAATTTTATTTTTATTTTTTTTTATTTTTTATTTTTTTTGTGGTACGCGGGCCTCTCACTGTTGTGTGACCTCTCCCGTTGCGGAGCACAGGCTCACAGACGCACAGGCTCAGTGGCCGTGGCTCATGGGCCCAGCCGCTCCGCAGCATGTGGGATCTTCCCGGACCGGGGCACGAACCCGTGTCCCCTGCATCGGCAGGCGGACTCTCAACCACTGCGCCACCAGGGAAGCCCCCTAATTTTATTGATTTGAGTCCTCTCTCTTTTTCTTGATGAGTCTGGCTAAAGGTTTATCAATTTTGTTTATCTGCTCAAAGAACCAGCTTTTAGTTTTATTGATCTTTGCTATCGTTTTCTTTGTTTCTTTTTTTTTAAATTTATTTATTTACTTTTGGCTACTTTGGGTCTTTGTTGCTGTGCGTGGGCTTTCTCTAGCTGCGGTGAGCGGTGTCCACTCTTTTTTTGTTGCAGTGTGTGGGCTTCTCATTGCGCTGGGCTCTCTTTGTTGCAGATCGCGGGCTCCAGGCGCGTGGGCTTCAGCAGTTGCGGCATGTGGGCTCAGCATTTGTGGCTCATGGGCTCCAGAGCACAGGCTCAGCAGCTGTGGCGCACAGGCCCAGTTGCTCCGCAGCATGTAAGATCATCCCATTCCAGGGCTCGAACCCCTGTCCCCTGCGTTGGCAGGTGGATTCTTAACCACTGCGCCACCAGGGAAGTCCCTCTTTGTTTCTATTTCATTTATTTCTGCTCTGATCTTTATGATTTCTTTCCTTCTACTAACTTTGGGTTTTGTTTGTTCTTCTTTCTCTAGTTCCTTTAGGTATAAGGTTAGATTGTTTGAGATTTTTCTTGTTTCTTGAGGTAGGCTTGTATTACTATAAACTTCCCCTTAGAACTGCTTTTTCTTCATCCCATAGGTTTTGGATCGTCGTGTTTTCATTGTCATTTGTCTCTAGGTATCTTTTGATTTCCTCTTTGATTTCTTCAGTGATCTCTTGGTTATTTAGTAACCTATTGTTTAGCCTCCATGTGTTTGTGTTTTTTATGTTTTTTTTCCCCTGTGGTTGATTTCTAATCTCATAGCATTGTGGCTGGAAAAGATGCTTGATATGATTTCAGTTTTCTTAAATTTACTGAGGCTTGATTTGTGGCCCAAGATGTGGTCTATCCTGGAGAATGTTCTGTGTGCACTTGAGAAGAAAGTGTAATCTGCTGTTTGGGGATGGAATGTCCTATAAATATCAGTTAAATCTATCTGGTCTGTTGTGTCATTTAAAGCTTGTGGTTCTTTATTAATTTTCTGTCTGGATGATCTGTCCATTGGTGTAAGTGAGGTGTTAAAGCCCCCTGCTATTATTGTGTTACTGTCGATTTCCTCTTTTATAGCTGTTAGCAGTTGCCTTATGTATTGAGGTGCTCCTATGTTGGGTGCATATATATAATTGTTATATCTTCTTTTTGGATTGATCCCTTGATCATTATTTAGTGTCCTTCCTTGTCTCTTGTAACATTCTTTATTTTAAAGTCTCTTTTATCTGATATGAGTATTGCTACTCCAGCTTTCTTTTGATTTCCATTTGCATGGAATATCTTTTTCCATCCCCTCACTTTCAGTCTGTGTGTGCCCCTAGGTGTGAAGTAGGTCTCTTGTAGACAGCATATATATTGGTCTTGTTTTTGTGTCCATTCAGCGAGCCTATGTCTTTTGGTTGGAGCATTTAATCCATTCACGCTTAAGGTAGTTATCAATATGTATGTTCCTAATACCATTTTCTTACTTGTTATGGGTTTTTTTTTTAGGTCCTTTTCTTCTCTTGTGTTTCCCACTTAGAGAAGTTCCTTTAGTATTTGTTGTAGAGCTGGTTTGGTGGTGCTGAATTCTCTTAGCTTTTGCTTGTCTGTAAATCTTTTTTTTTTTTTTTGTCTATAAATCTTTTGATTTCTTCGTCGAATCTGAATGAGATCCTTGCCAAGTTGAGTAATCTTGGTTGTAGGTTCTTCCCTTTCATCACTTTAAATATATCATGCCACTCCCTCCTGGCTTGTAGAGTTTCTGCTGAGAAATCAGCTGTTAACGTTATTTGAGTTCCCTTGTATGTTATTTGTTGTTTTTCCCTTGCTGCTTTCAATCATTTTTCTTTGTCTTTAATTTTTATCAATTTGATTACTATGTGTCTCGCCGTGCTTCTCCTTGGGTTTATCCTGCCTGGGACTCTGCACTTCCTGGACTTGGGTGGCTCTTTCCTTTCCCATGTTAGGGAAGTTTTCGACTATAATCTCTTCAAATATTTTCTTGGGTCCTTTCTTTCTCTCTTCTCCTTCTGGGACCCCTATAATGCGAATGTTGTTGCATTTAATGTTGTCCCAGAGGTTTCTTAGGCTGTCTTCATTTCTTTTCATTCTTTTTTCTTTATTCTGTTCCGCAGCAGTGAATTCCACCATTCTGTCTTCCAGGTCACTTATCCGTTCTTCTGCCTCAGTTATTCTGCTATTGATTCCTTGTAGTATATTTTTCATTTCAGTTATTGTATTGTTCATCTCTGTTGGTGTTTGTTCTTTAATTCTTCTAGGTCTTTGTTAAACATTTCTTGCATCTTCTCGATCTTTGCCTTGATTCTTTTTCCGAGGTCCTGGATCATCTTCCCTATCATTATTCTGAATTCTTTTTCTGGAAGGCTGCCTATCTCCACTTCATTTAGTTGTTTTTCTGGGGTTTTATCTTGTTCCTTCATCTGGTACAAAGTCCTCTGCCTTTTCATTTTGTCTGTCTTTCTGTGAATGTGGTTTTCCTTCCACAGGCTGCAGAATTGTAGTTCTTCTTCTGCTGTGCAAAAGCTTTTAAGCTTGATTAGGTCACCTTTGTTCATTTTTCCTTTTATTTCTATTCCTTTGGGAGACTGACCTGAGATAATATTGGTACAATTTATGTCAGAATGTTTTGCCTATGTTCTCTTCTAGGAGTTTTATGGTGTGGTGTTTAAGTCTTTAAGCCATTTTGAGTTTATTTTTGTGTATAGTGTAAGGGTGTGTTCTAACTTCATTGATTTACATGCACCTGTCCAGCTTTCCCAACACTAGGGACAGTCTTCCATGCTTAGTATCTGGGGCCCTGGCACCCCGGGTCCGCAAGAGTTGAGTCCTAAGACAGCCAGGTTTCTGGGAAGTTCAGCCAGGAGGGGGCCTTGAGAGCCCAGGGTTTGTGTCTTCTGATGGGAGATGGTAAATCTCCAGAGGCTGGAACTCAACATTACATGCTCAGTTGAACCACTTCCACTCAGCAGCACGTCCTGTCCCATCTAAACCCCCACAGAGACCTCTGACCCCTAAATTGAGGCAGGCGTGCCCTGGAGATACCCCTAGGCAGGTCCCAGATTACCGACAGGGGACAGAAGAAGAGTGAGGCTCATCTCCTCCCCTGGGAACACCAGACCTGCTTCAGGACTCAGTTTTCCCATCTGATAACAGGCCTGCAAAACATTCCCTGGAAGAGCCTGGCCACCTCCGCAGGTCAGAGTGTTGCACCATGGGTACACGTAGACACAGGTATGTGCAAGTGTGCACACATACAGGCAAACACATGCATAAATGTACACAGGCAAGTGCACACACATGCACATATACATGCACTTTTACATTCATGCACACACATGCACACATTAACCCAGTTTAGCACAATAAAGTACACATACAAACACATCTGCACATGAAGAGAAATGCACAAAAGCACATCCGTGCACATGCACACACGGTACACAAACAGGCAAGCATAGACACACACATGCATTCACAAAGGCATAAAAATGCATACATAAACACACAAGTATACATAGACAAACATGTCATGTCATTGCCTTGCTTGGTGCCAGTAAAGTATACATGCACACACCCAGTACATGCAGCAGACATGCACACCCACCCAAGTCCATTGGAATCATGGAGGCATGTAGAGGCCTTGACCAGGTCAGATCCAGACCTTGGTACAGGGCAAATGCAATGTCCACCTTTCCCTCTTGACTCCCTGCTGAGCATGGAACCCTGGTTCAGAGTCACCAGCCCTTCTCAACTACGTCCTGCTGTGCGACCCTCTGAGCCTCCACTTCCTTGTCAGTAAAATGATGTGGGTACTCATCCGCCAGGGCTGGTGTGAGCTAGGTAAGGAGCAATGCTAAGCCCAGTGCTGGGCAGGGGTCAGGTGCTCCTTGCATGCTTCTCCCTCTACTCCCTTCTGCCAGGCCTACCCCCCAATGCCCCCACCGTGGAACTTGAGGCCCTCTCCTCCCCTTTCTGAGCCTGGATCCTATGGAACATGTCTCCCTGCTCTGGAGCAGGGCTGGACTACCTCCAGGGTCTCTCCCAGAGGGTTTGGGGAGCAGCGTACAGGGGGTGCAGAGTCAGCAGTTGAGGGATTGGTGCCATGCCCGCCTGATTAGGGCGGCTGGGGGCTGAGCTGGATTCACCTGTCCTTGTCTCTGATTGGCTCTTGGGTACCAACAACCCCCAAATCCTACTAAGCAGCCCCAACAGGGCCTTCACAGGTCTGTGGACAGCCAGTTGATTGCCAGTTCTGAGGTCAGAAGTGTGTCTGGGGAGGCCAGAGGCTGGCCTGAGCCTGGCTCTGGGGATCCCCTGCATCCAGAAGAGCCAACTGACCACCCTGTTCCTTCACCTCCTGCCGGGACCATGGGGGCTGGGGCCAGCGCTGAGGAGAAGCACTCAAGGGAGCTGGAAAAGAAGCTGAAAGAAGATGCCGAGAAGGATGCTCGAACCGTGAAACTGCTGCTTCTGGGTAAGGGTGTGGGCTGCGGTGAGGCCACTGCTACTAGTCAGAGGCCCAGGGGCAGGCAGGTGGCCCTTCTGTGAAGTAGGTGTGACTTGGGAAACAGAATGAGCCTGCAACCTGGCAGGAAACAGAGTGGGAGCCCTGGCCAAGCAAGCCCTGGCCAAGCCTTGACAAGTGATGCCTTGGCTCTCTAAGGCTGGGTATCCCACAGAACCCCTCTTCAGAGGGCCCAGCCTCAGGCAACATCCCCTCCCAAGAAGTGTGTACCAATCTCACTTTTGTAGAGATGTGTGTACGAGGCCTAGTTTTGCCCTGGCTGTGCTCCCTCAAACACCAGCCTTTGGCTTGATGGGCCTGCTGGGCAGGGCTCAGAAACCAGGGGCCTCCTTGGGAGCCCCACAAGGCTGCTCCCTTGGGAAGGAGAAGGTCACAGTCCTCCTGAGAGTGGGCAGCCTCTAGGACCACCCAGATCCACAGACAATGACCCTCAGTTTCCAGAGCTTTATTGTTGACAGACCTGCAGAACAGTTAAAGGGGGTAGGGGGTACTAAGGCCCAGCAGGGAATAGGTAAAGCCATGTCCTTGGTCCCATGGGTAGTGAGGGGAGAGGGGGTTGATCTAGTACTCCAAGGCCACTTCCTCCCCCCAAGGGAAGAAGGAGCTGCTTTGAGAGGGCAGTGCAGGCTCTACCCAGGCTCTCCAGGGTCCAGCCAGACAGCTGGATGTGGGCAGAAGGACCAAGCCAGAGTACCCCAGGGAAGAGAGAGAGGCTAAGCCAGAAATCCCATTAACTGTGCCCAACACCCGCATGAGAACAGGCTCAGAGAGGCTGTTAGCTCTGTCCTCTCCCCCAGCAAAAGGTGCTAATTCCCTCTGAGCCTCTTGGAGACACTTCCTCCCACCACAGGTGAAAAGCAGGGGTTGACCTGGCTCAAATAATCCCATGCATGCAGTACCAGAATCTTCCACAAGGTGGAGCTCCAGGTTTCTTTATTTTTGTCCTCAGAATAATAAAACTGAAAATACCAGGGTCTTGAAGGCTCCTCAGCACAGTCGAGTTTGTCGATTCCCCTCGTCAGCCGCCTTCTGTCACTCCTGACGTTTACGTTTTGCCACCAGGGCATCATGACCTGACTTTGGGGGTTGGGGGCAAAACAGGTGTGATAGAGGCGGCAGTGCGGTCAGCGCGTCTCTGAGGTAGGGTTTCCATTCCAGGCGCTGGTGAGTCTGGGAAGAGTACCATTGTCAAGCAGATGAAGTGAGTGCCCCTGCCCTACCCGAGGCCCCTGGGGGTGGGCACACGCACGAGGTCTGTCCTTCCCCACCTACCCAAGAGGCGCTGACCCGGCTCCCCACGGCTGCAGGATCATCCACCAGGATGGGTACTCGCTGGAAGAGTGCCTCGAGTTCATTGCCATCATATATGGCAACACGCTACAGTCCATCTTGGCCATCGTGCGCGCCATGACCACGCTCAATATCCAGTATGGAGACTCTGCGTGCCAGGTGTGCCAAGAGACTAGCTGAACAGGGCTTCTGGAGACTCGAGGTGCGAGGCTGGGCCCAAGTCCATGGTCACCACCAACAACTCCCCTGCCCCCCACACACACAGGACGATGCCCGGAAACTGATGCACATGGCGGACACCATCGAGGAGGGCACGATGCCCAAGGAGATGTCAGACATCATCCAGCGGCTGTGGAAGGACTCGGGTATCCAGGCCTGTTTCGATCGCGCCTCGGAATACCAGCTCAATGACTCTGCTGGCTAGTGAGAGCACAGGCGGGGCGCGGGACGGGCGGGGCCCTGCCACGCCCCTCCACCCAACCCTACCCACACCCCGGATCTCCCGCAGCTACCTCTCGGACCTGGAGCGCCTGGTAACCCCGGGCTACGTGCCCACTGAACAGGACGTGCTGCGCTCGCGTGTCAAGACCACTGGTATCATTGAGACGCAGTTCTCCTTCAAGGACCTCAATTTCCGGTACGACCCCGCGCCCTAGCTCTCGCTGTCCGGGGGCTTGCCCGCAAGTTCACTGCCTGAGGCCCTGTCTGATCCCAGAGGCCCCATCCCTTCGAGAGACCCTGCCCCTTCTCGGACAACCTGCCCGCAGAAATGCCCGGCCCCTCCGGATGCCATCCCCATCTGGGTGCCTCCCAGCCAGCATTAGGAAACCAGGGGATGCCTGTGGGCACGTCCAGGGGACTCGATGCGCCGGCTCAGGTTCCCACGGCCCCGCAGGATGTTCGATGTGGGCGGGCAGCGCTCAGAACGCAAGAAGTGGATCCACTGCTTCGAGGGTGTGACCTGCATCATCTTCATTGCGGCGCTCAGCGCCTACGACATGGTGCTTGTGGAGGACGACGAAGTGGTGAGTGCTCAGCAGGGCCTGAGCGTTTGAGCGGGGAGGAGGGGAGCGGAAAGCAGAGACAGCGCTGCGGGCGCGGGGAGCATCTGAGAGAGGACATTCGACCCAGAGCGGTCTGAAGGAGGAGATGAGGCAGCCTGCTGCCCTGCTCAGCGGGGCGAAGGGGGAGACAGTCTTGGAGCTGTCTGGGCAGGGAGGCCCCGGAGCCCAGAGAGTAGGGGTCTGCCCGCCGGCCGCAGCCAGGTGGGGGCGGCGGCCGCAGTCCCCGGTGCCCGACAGCCTCTGCCCTCCTCAGAACCGCATGCACGAGAGCCTGCACCTATTCAACAGTATCTGCAACCACCGCTACTTCGCCACCACGTCCATCGTGCTCTTCCTCAACAAGAAGGACGTCTTCTCGGAGAAGATTAAAAAGGCGCACCTCAGCATCTGCTTTCCGGACTACAATGGTGAGAACCTCGGCCCGCCGCCAGGCGGCGTCGCAAACCCACGATCTCGGCCCGCGCTCCTCCCGCCGCAGGGAGGATTTGCTACCGGGAGTGAGAGCTCCCCCTTCCCTGCCAGGGCCCAACACATATGAGGACGCGGGCAATTACATCAAGGTGCAATTCCTCGAGCTCAACATGAGACGCGACGTGAAGGAGATCTATTCCCACATGACGTGCGCCACCGACACACAGAACGTCAAGTTTGTCTTCGACGCTGTCACCGACATTATCATCAAGGAGAACCTCAAAGACTGCGGCCTCTTCTGAGGTGGCTCCACGCGCGCAGGCCGGGATGCTCCCCTGTCGTGCCTCTTGGTCTCAATACCCCAAGCCCCATCCCCTGCTCCCCATCCCACCTCTCGACTGCAGGCCCCTCCCCAGCTCTCAGGATCCAATCCACTGCCTGCCCTCTGGGCCCCAACTTCCAGACCCTATTGCTTCCAGGCCCCACCCTGACTCCTCAGGCTCCACCCCATGGCCACAGGCCCCTCCCCTGGCTCACAAGCCCCACCCACTCACGCTCTTTTGACCCCGCCCCAACCCCCCAGGTGTCACTGCTTCCAAGCCCACCTCCACCTGTCTCTCAGTCTAAACCCAATTATTTGGGCGCTTAGGAATGTTGACTCTGTTCCTTTTTCTCTTCACAGGTGCCTGAACTCATGTGTTCCTGAGACCCTGTAGCCCTTGCCGCCTTGTAGCCCCAATCCGCATGACCCCTACCAGCCCCCCAGGACTCCTGGGCCCCAGCCTGTGGCCCCACCAGCCACAGATTCAAAACCCTAAGCCCTGCTAACCTTGAGGGACTTACCCTCCCCCATGGCTCCCAGGATTCCCAGGTCTCCCAGAGTCCGGTGCCCCCAGCCACCCCAGCACTGCCCTTCACGGCCTGGCTGCACTGGCCTCCAGGACCCACCACAGCCAGCCCCAGCTAGGAGCAAGCAGTACTTGGGGCAGCTACAGCTCACGGTGACTCAGCAGTACCCCACTGACCAATCTCCTGCTGCTCTCCTGCCCCAGGAGGCCCGTGATTCACCTGGTGGGTCTGGGTTCAGCAAACAGCCCTCCCTCCCAGAGTTTCATGAAGGGCAGGGGGGCAGGAAGGGAACCCTCCTCCAAGCAGGCCTGCTGCTTACCATCAGCCCCTTCTAGCCTTACCACCTCCATGTGACAAGTCTGACACCCATCTGCCCAGTGGCCAGTGACTGCCCCACCCAGCAGGTTTAGGGGTCCAAAGTCCAAGCCAGCTCTGGCCTGTGAAACTCATACATAGACAAATTAGTGAGTGGGGGCAAGCCTGGGAGCTCCTGGTGCCAGGAAGAAACTCAAGCTGGACCCTTCCCCACATATCCTAACCCCTTCCCCCACAGGCTCTGTCCCCTCCGTGCTTGGACACTGTATTCATGTCCTACTCACTTACACACCCACAGTACTCCAGGCCAGTCTGTTGAGGGAGGGTGCTGTTGACACCAGCTGTGGCCAATGGCTGAACTGTCCTAAGGGGTGGCTGGGAGCAGAGTCCGGCTCCCATCGATCAGCCCCAGGAAGGGGATTTGGGACAGGAAGGAGGCCCAGATTGTGCCCAGGGGGTCTGCCTCAGGTAGGGTCATAAGCAAACCCAGGTGACCCTCTTGTCCCTGCCAGCAGCTTCTCTCATCCTTCCCATTCAGGGCCCATTCCCTGGTGGGAAAAACTGAGGTCCATGCCTGAACCATCAGTGACAAAGGCATCCATGTCCCTACACCCCTGCTCCCTACTTCCTCATCAAGCACCAAGTCCTCGCTGATGCCCGTGGGCTGGGGCCTGTGCTGTAGTCGAGGGCAAGGAGCATCCGTCTAACAAGGCCAGGGCATAATTTGCACTCCCTTCATAATTTGCCAGGGCATAATTTGCTAGATACACAGACTCAGCAATAAATCTTTGCATCAGGCCCCAGCTGTCCTTTCTTGGGGGGAAGGGGAGAGTGTTAATGATCATGAGTCATACAAATTTATTAAGTGCCCAGTGCTGGGCTGGACGTGAATGGGAAGGTGGTCCCTTCCAGGGAGAAGCACCTGACCTAACATGGCAGGGGGCACTCTTGGGGGCATGGGATCAATTTGGGGTCTTGATAGGGGTTGAGAGGGGGAAAGGAGACGTGGGAAATGTTCACAAGGACGATGTTGGATCAAGAGGGGGTTGTGAGGTGGAAGCTTGTTCTGGCAGGGACTGTAGTGTGTATAAGGCCCAGGAACATGGGCTGGTGGACCACAGGAGTTCAGTGGAACAGGAGCAGGGAAGGGGAGATGGGGTGGAGAGACTGGGCAGGTGCCAAACGCCAGCCTAAGGGCCTGTGCTTCCTCCAGAAGATGATGAGTCCAGGAAGCCCTTGAAGCTAGAACATAATTGCAGGGCTGGGATTAGGGTGAGGCAAATGAGGCACCCACCTCAGGTGTTACGATTTAAGGTGATGCCAAAAAAATCAGTAATCAAGATAAATATTAATGCAATATTTTCAAAAATCAAAATTACTGCCAAAAAATCCATAATGAACAGAATATCAAAATTTTAAATAAAGACAAGATCCAAGAGAGCCCTGCAGAGCCATATTAGACCCTGAAGCAAAAGGAAAAATGTCCACTCCTATATACGTTTTTATGTATTTTTAAAGGTTAATTTTTTTTTTACAGAACATTAAAGTAGTTGATAAAACATCGAACAAATTGTAAGTAGGTATATTAAAACCCACAATACTACTTTAAGATTAAATATTTTATTTATACCTAAAACAGAATTTATACTTTTATTTTCTTGGCTTTAATGGAAATAAAATCATCAATGATATTTTCCAAATCTGTTTCTGGAAAAAGTAATCATTAAAATTTTTCATAAAAACATGTATATAGGGGCACATATTTTTCCTGGGGGCTGGGCATGGAGGGGGAGAGGAGTGGGGCTGGGAGGGTCCATGAGGAAGAGACTTATGTCATTACCCCGTGGAGCCAGGATCTGCAAGGAGTGGGACTCACTGACAAGGGTCTGGATCTGTGCAGTGACCAAGTGCGTGTGATGCCCCCACCAAGCTGGGACTGCACAGGAGTGTTGAGGGGACTGAGTTTTCTGGACCTGTGGCCACTTGGGGGAGAGGTCCGGGAGTCAGACAGACACTTGGGGCTGGGCGGAAGGCAGCATGTGGGCAGCATCCTCAATGTCTGGGTGGAAGTGGCACTGTGAGCCTGTGCGGGGCTAGAAGGGGAGAGTGAGGGTGCCCAGGCCTGAGCATGGGGTGGAGGGGAGGGACGCTGGATGGGTTAGAAAGCCCAGGACACATGGGCAGCCACAATGGTGTTGCTTAGAGTCCTGAGGGGGGGATGAGGCTCAGGCCAGTGGTTCAGGACCTCACTGGGTGGTTTTGGGCCTGGCTGAGCTGGGCTGCTCATCCCTGCTAAGGACCCTCTGCCCAAACAATTTACTGGAGTGAGGTGGGGCAGGGGAGAGTGATGGCGGGATTTATGGGGAGGGGCAAGGCAGAAGACAGAAGGCTTTGAGAAGCTGGCTGTGGCAGGCTTGAGACAGAGGAAGCTGCGGGAGAGGTGGGTTAATGGGATCTTCCGCATGGCCACCTTGTCTTGGAAGGAAGGTAATGAGCTCCCCAGCCTTCCTAGGCAAGGGACAGAGAGGAGGCCAAACACCATGCAGGGGCTGGACCCCACGTTCCAGGTTCTGACCCTAGGGACTGGGATTCTGAACCAATATTCTTGGATCCCATGGACTGAGGACACTGCCTGGCCTCAAGCTGCCCTGTTCATGGCCAGCAAGTATGGGGGTGGGGGGTCGAGTCTCCTGGCCTGAAGCCTCCTCAGCCCCGCTTACCACACCTGTGTAATTGCACCCTAACGAGCAGGATCAATGGGTCCCTAATGCCTGATTCACAGTCCAGGGCCAAGGATCAGAGGGAGCTGGCCCAGAGTTGGCACAGTGACCACACTGTGGTCTTGTAGGCAGGGGGCATTTACTGTGGGCACCTCCAGCCTCCACCATCCCTGCCTGACCTCAACCTCAAGATGCCCCTGGGGGCCTTCCCAGCCTTCGACTCTGGCTCTGGCGGTACTAACCTGGCCCAGCCACGGAACAGAGATTAGACAGGCCTGGCGAACCGTTAATGCTGCTGACGTCAGGGCCCGGTCGGGTGGCTACTGGGTGGGGGCTTGGGCCCTCCCCACGGGCAGTAGCACGGCCCATGTGACCTGGGCACATTAAGCCGCTTCAGTGGCCAGAGAAGCTAGGTGCCAGAGCTCAGGGGAGAGAGGGGGGCCCTCCGGGACTGTGGAGGCAGGCTCCAGCCTAGAGGTCACCAGCTCTGTAGACTCAGGCCAGGGGAGAACCAGACAGGTGGGTTTGCCTATGGATGCCCTCTATACTTCCACAACCCCACACCCCTGCTAGTGCCCAGAGAGGAGCCTCCCAGACACCAAGATGGGCAGAGTGTATTCAGGAGCTATGGGTGTGGGTCCTCAAGCCAAGGGTATGGAGGTGAGAACCACCCTCTCCTGTGAGGTCTTGAAAGCCCCAACATGACTCCAGGCCAAGGGTCCCGCCCCTGCACACAGCCCTCCGCCTATCAGTGCCAATCCCACATGCACTCAAGGTTCCCTGTGGCCAAGCTGTTCCTTCCATCCACAGTACCCTCTCTTCCCCACCCTGGCATGTGCCTTTCTTCCCCTTGGCAGAGCCAAGCCCACGGATTGCTTCTCCATCAGGCTTTTCCTGATCCGCACACTCTAACCTGGCAGGAGCTTTCCTGTCTAGAGGGCCCACACAGAGCGCTTGGAGACACTGAGCCTGGGGCTGTGTGGTGGGGCGGCAAGAGCAGCTGCCGTCAGGGTAGGATGAGCTGTGGCTCTTCCAGGGGCTCAGGCACGGTTCTCAAGAGGCGATCTTTCATTTGCGTGTTGAGGGACAAGTGAGAGTTTGCCAAGGAGGTGGGACAGGATGGGGAACCAGGAGGGCAGAGGCACAGGGAGGTGAAACCTGGCATGTTCTTGGAACAGCCGGGCAGTGGGGGAGGTGAAGAGGCCAGCTGGGAAGAGGAGCAGGTTGGGAGGATGTCAGGCAGGCCAGCTGGGTGTGAGGCAGGTGCCTGCAGGGCGTCCGAGGAATCAGTGGATACAGATGCTAGGCTCTGAGGAGGACTGGGTTGGAGGTGAAGATGGGGCCTCACTGTAAAAGAGGGTCTTGGGACACTGTGTAGATGGTGTGCCAGGGGAGGTGCTGGTGTGGTGAGAGGGGGCTGCCTAGCTGGAGGCTAAAGAGGGAGGAACAGAGCAAAGGGATGCCAGGACCCTGGAAGGAGGGTCTGAGTGATCCTGGGTTCCTAAGTTCTGTCTCATATCTCTGACAGTTTCTTGGACCTGTGTCTCAGATTCTGGAGGTGGGGAAGTGGAGGTAGGGGACTGGGCCGAAGGTTGAGATAAAGCTCCCCACCTTCCACTCCAGGTGGCTGCCCCCAGCACAGCAGCTGCATGGATAGACATTTCCTCCAGCCTCTGGGAGAAGGTGCCTGGTACCTCTCAGAGCCCCATAATGGCTGCCAACTGTCCAGCCACCTCAGGCTGGGCTGGGAGATTTGGCAGGTGGTGGGAAAGGCCTCTGAGCTGTGTTTGCCCTGGCTGGGGCCCGGGCCTAGCATCAACAATCAGGCGGCCCCTCCCCCAGCCTGGCCACAACTGGCCTGGCCCAGGGACCCCACCTCACACCACCCTCAGGGCTCCCACAGCAGCCCAGCCCAGTTGGTCCCTGCTCCCTCCAGTCTGGGTTGAGGACCCCAACACCCACATGCTGGGTGACCTTGAAGCCAGGCCTGGCTCCTCAGGAACTGCCAATAGGAGCACCCAGCCCTTTGCAAATGGCTTCTGTGAGCATCCAGGATGTCTGGAGTTGGGAGGTGGAGGGCAGACCTGAGACCCTGGTCAACACCTCTCCTATCTGACTCTGTCCCACAGGCAGTCCTCAAGCCCCTTCAAAGGGTGAGAGTCTTAGGGTCTCTCATGACCAAAGTAAGATGTGATCTGGGATTACACCAGCCCCAGATCAAGGGGTAGAGCCAGTCCCTTCCTATTTTTCAGCCATCAGCAGGGAGGGAGCTTAGATGGTTTGAGGTTTTCAAGGATTGCCACCATCCCAATGCCTTTCTCTTTAGTCCTCCCATCCCCTGGTACTCCCAGCCAAAGCTGAGTCCCCTTGGCTCACAGCTTCCCCTTAACCCACTGCCTTCAGGCCAGGGGAAAAGCCAGAGCCATTTCCTTGTGACGCAGAGGGAAACTGAGGTACGCTAGGGCTTGGCTGCGGGGGTGCTGTGAGTCGGGCGGAAGAGAATCCTGGAGTCCTGACTCCCAGCCCAGGACAGGGAAGGGGTGAGGCCTGTCCTCTGAGGGCATTCTCCCCAATACCAGGGAGGGGGGCAGACATGACACAGAGACATCCAGCTTGACTAGGAACAGCAGAGGCCATGGATTAATCGGATCAGAGCCAGTGGCTGAGAAGCAAGGGACACAGCTGTTCTGCAAACACCGCCCCCCAGCTCACCCCCAAGGTCAAGGCCTCCCCCAGCTCCCTGCTGGTTGCTCCTGGGCTGGTGGGCCTTAACACCCACCACACACCTCTGAGCACTAAGGCCTTGGGTGGGAAGCAGGCAGGGGTGGGATAAGAGCCCTCAGCCAGGAATGGGGTCACCCTAAAACCCCTTTCCCTGAGGCACCAAGTCCCAGGCCCCACTTCCCATGGGCAGACACAGCTGTCTCCTACTCTTTATTTTTGTTTTTGTTTTTGTTTTTGCGGTACGCGGGCCTCTCACTGTTGTGGCCTCTCCCGTTGCGGAGCACAGGCTCCGGACACGCAGGCTCAGCGGCCATGGCTCACGGGCCCAGCCTCTCCACGGCATGTGGGATCTTCCCGGGCCGGGGCACGAACCCGTGTCCCCTGCATTGGCAGGCGGACTCTCAACCACTGCGCCACCAGGGAAGCCCCTCTCCTACTCTTTAGAAATAAGGAAATGGGGGCATGGCCAGGGAGATCCAGACAAGGCTAGGCGTGAGCCAAGCCTCCAAGACTTGCTTCCCGCACCCCCTGCCCGCCCCCGCCCCGTCCTCACTGCCGCTACCCTTGTCTACTCTCAGTCTCTTCTGAGTATCTGGGGTGAAGACAGAATTGATGCAGGGAGCCCCTGTCCTCACCCTATCCCACCTCTGCTTGGGAAGGGTGAGGCAGGCAGAAAAGACATCTTTTGCCTAAGTGATGTGAAAGTCCCCCATTCAAGGCATCCTTCGCTGAGGTTAAGCATGGCCCTGTTCCCATTCCTCTTAGCTGAGGAGCCCCTTCTGGCTTGAGGGAAGTGAGGGCAGAGCATTTCAGGGGTTAGGGGGCGCTCAGAGACCTCATAGAGAATCTGCTTTGGACTAAAGCATTCCCCCAACAAGATTCAACTGAGCCCCTCCCGGAGCAGCTGCTCTCCTAAGGCTCCTTAGCGCTCGGGCTGCCCCTTTGCTCCAGGCCAGTGGAGGGCCCCCGCCTCTCCGCAGACCTGCCCCTCCTCCTGCGGGCCGCGGGGGATTGGCGGGCCAGGGGCGGGCCGGGGGCGGGGCCGAGCGCCCTTCATCCCCTGCCGCTGCGCTCAGCCGGGAGCAGAGCTGACAGCACCGGCCCGAGCGGAGCACCGCGCGTCCTCACCCGCGAGGCCAGGTACTGCTGGGGGCGCCGACCTCCAGTCCAGGGGCACCGAGCGGGCGGAGCCCTACTGTCCACTTTCGCGTCCGGAGCTGGGCTCTGGGCAGGTCCCCTCGCCCGCCCTGCCTCCGGGCAGGCGCCCCAGCCTCCTGGGAGCCAAAGCCCCGAGCGCTCCAGGCGCAGGTCTGGGGACCCGCCAGCTCCCAGCTTGAGCTAGTGTCCTGGGAGGAGCACCTCGTGGTCTTGGGGCCTCTCGCAGGGCCGGGCGGGATAGCAGGAGGTCGGCGGCACCCAGGGCTGGGGTCACAGGACGCCTTGTTGGGGGCTAGGGTGGCACGCGATGGGTTTCCCGAGGCACGGTCCAAGGGGGCGAGCTCGAGAGGGCCCGGAGGGGGGCCTAAGAGGGCCGGGGAGCAGGCCCTGGAGCGCTGCCCCGACGGCCGCCTGACAAGCAAATCGGCCCGCTGGCACGCCGGGCGTCAGGGTATATTTATCCCGCTGCGTTAGGCAGGGGCTTGAGGGCAGATCGGGCCAGGCTGCCTGAGGGGCCGCGTGGCACATGTTGGTCCCAGAGCCCGTGCCATTTGCAGCCAGGCCAGCGGGCACGGCGGGCACAGGGCGAGCGTGGCTCCCTGGATTGAGGGCGGGGCTCGGTCTGAGCTCCTAGAGCTGACAGTGCGTTCAGGGGCGGAGGGAAAGGACCGGGACTAGGTTTGCAGGAGCCCGCCCCCACCCGCTTGGCCCCTTCGATTGGCCACAGCGAGTGCGTGCGTTTGTTTACACCCGGAGAGGGGGAGGCCAGGGGCGGGGCCTGTGGGAATCCATCCTCTCCCCCCACAGTGACCTGACCCCTGAGCCCAGGTGTAGGCTTTGGATCAGGTCTGAGGGGGACTAAGTCAAAGGTCCTCGCACCGTGGGGGCCACCTCGACCCAGGCCCATCCTTCTTTCAGCCTGCCAGTCCTGTCCTTCCTTCCATGACTGCCTTCAGCCACTGTGCTGGCCCTGAAAGGGGCCCTTCCTCTTTAGTACACAGTCTGGCATGGGGGCTCACTTCCTTCTGGAAAGGAAGCAAATGCCTCAGAGGTTCTCAGTCTGGAGCATAGCAAGCTGGAGAGATCCAAGGACAGGTCCATTTTGACAGGGGGAGGTTCTGCACAAACATGGAAGGCTTCCTGCAGGAAGCACCAAAGGTGGGAAAAATCAGGGGTGGACGAGGCCAGGCCTAGCACATCCCTAAGAGGGCTGGAATGCTGGGATCAGTAATGAGAATCTCGGACTCCTTGAGGTTGAGGGCTGGGGGCTGTGTCTCTGGGGAGGGTGGGGGTGTACATCTCAGAACTTTGTTCTGCCTGGGCCCATAGAGCCACCGTCCTCACTGACTTCCCAAGCCACCCTTTGTTCTGTACTGGTTCTTTGGGCCCATGTCACAAACATCCCCCCCATCCAGGCTCCAGGTGGCAAGATCATGAGAGCTGGTTGCTCCTGTCCTAGTGCCTGCTGCCCTAGCAAGTAGCCTTGGAGCCCTGGAAAAATGGAGAAACTGAGGTGCAACAAGACAAGCTGGGTGGTTCATGGTCTCTGGGTGGGGGCAGGGAAGGTTTTTGAGCCGAACTGAGTGCACCCTATAAGTCTGGCTGGGCAGGGTGCAGGCACTCAGTCTGAGGGGGAAAATGTTTTGGGGGAGTGGTTGGCTACAAGAGAGGTACAGTTTTGGCATCTGTGTGCACAGAAAACTGGGGCGGGATGTGCAGTCTATACCATAATAGGATAGGGGCACTGCAGGAGGATGTTCCAGTGCAGACATGGCTGGGGAGCCAGGCACCACTTGGAGCAGGTGAAATGGGGTGGAGGCTTGCCAAAGACCTTGAACCCATTCCATTCATTTAATATTTACTGAGTACCTACTGTGTGCCTGTGCACAATCAATCTGGTGGATGGAGGACTGGACTTTGGATAAGACAGATGCGTGGTGGGGGCGCTCTAGAGGACCAGGCAGGGCTTCTGGGGGCCGAAGGGAAGGACCAGCTGCTGGGCAGGAGGGGCTTTCCGGCCAGCGGCCTGGGGTGGCTTGGATTTGAATTTCCGCTCTGCGGGCCACGTCCTGTACACAGCCTCTCAGCCAGCACGTCTGCACACGTGCATGGCTGCTGAGGATGGGGGTCACTTCAACTGACTGTCCTCTCCATATACCTTTCCTGTCGTGTGGGTAGACAAGCCATGGGTGCTAGACTAGGGGGCTCTGAGCTTTCCAGCTGGGCCTGGCCTGTGGCCCCAGTGGGCTCAGTTCTACCCTCTGGATGTCTGCACCTGGCTAATGGGAGCATAACCTGCCCTTGTAGGAAACTGGAAATGCTGTGGCATCCCTGCAGTGCCCACTGGGCCTGCTGCTCCCTCACCTGGGCCTCCGACTCCCTCCACTTCTTGCGCCTTCTGGGATGCTCTGTCTTGTCTTGCTGTCTCTCTGTCTCTTTCTCTATCTGGCTATCTCTAAATGGTTGGCCATCTCTGTCGATCTGTCTCTCACTTATCTGGTTGTCTGTCTCCCTGTCTGAATGTCTATCCACCCATCTCTCTGTGTATTCTTCTCTATTTGTGTCCCTCTAGATCCGTCTGCATTTCTTTATCTCCCCGTGCCTGTCTCTTGGTCTGGATCAGTATGCATGGACACAGATATCATGTGTGTGTGTTTTCTCTCCCTGTCTCTCTCTTCCCTCCCTCTGACTCTCTCTGCTTCTTCCTTACATTGGATGGCGCCTCTCCTCTGGGCTGACCTTGCCTTCTGCCCTCCCATCGGGGTCTCCAGTGAGTCCTGAGCTGCCCCAGGCCCCTGCTCCAGCTTTCTTTGGGGCCAGAAGTCCGGCTGTCCAAATATTTGGCCGCCTCCAGGGGATTCCGAGTCAGCAGGGAGGAGGATGGGCTGGCTGGCTCGGGGTCTCCCCTGCCCCTGGGTGGGGGGGGCCCACAGGCACGTGATGTCCTGTCCTTTGCCTCAGCTGAGCCTCAGGCTGCACGTCCTTCTCAGCAGGCTGGCAGTTGGGGGGAGGGGGCTGCTGCTGGCTCTGGCCCAGTCTTGAGGCAAGAGGTTCCGACTGCAGCTTCCACTGGGGGCAATCTGAGCAAGGAGTGTCCGGGGGTGGGCAGAAGGGGAGGCCTAGGTGTCTGGGGATAGGCCCAATGCTAAGCGTCTGTTAGGTTTAGAAAATGTACCCTGTCACAGGAAAGTCCATCTTCCGGCCCCAGCTGGGGCCCTCAGATCCTCCTAGATACTTCCGGATACCCGGAACACAGAAGCACTGGGCCAGAGAGCTAGGGGATGAGGGGCTGGTGTGGCCAACACATCAGTGCTCTGCACTATTTGCCTTCCCCTCCTGCATGCTACCCCCTCAGTACCAGCCGTATGTTGGCCACACCCTAGCCACTTACTCGGTGTTATTGGCAATGGGGGAGTACTGGATGGAAGACTGGATCTGCTGAGGTCAAAATCCGGAGTTGTGGGTCTGGTGGAGGGGCAAGGGGTTTGTTTTAGTATCCTCCCGCGTTCCGAACACCCGCCCACACACCCTGTCCCTAGACCCCTGACCTCAGCAATCAGCTCCACACCAATCTCTGTGGCTCTGCCTTGAGAACATACAATCCAGATGTGTCTGTTGAATCCAGTTTCCCTGTTAACTGATAGCTTGTCCGAGGAGGGTGTTATCCTTCTGAAACCTGGAGAAGCAGGTGGGCAAAGGGGCTCTAGGGAGGGACACCTTCTCTCAGCTAATGAGGGGAGTGGTAAGTAAGGACCGGTGAACTAGAACTGGGGGCAGCCCTCATCCGTGGGCCCCCAGGGATGACCACAGTGGACCCTTACGCCAGGCCAGCCGCCTCTCACCTGAGAGCTGAGCTGAGGTGAGGGCTGCCCAGGCACAAGGAGCCTGGGGGCCATGGCAGCAAGCTCTGTGGTGTCTGTGCCTCCACCAGCACATGTGGCTGCAGGACCGAGGGAAGAAGGGCAGTGTGACTGTCTCCCTGTAGTTAGCCTGCTACTGCAGACCCACTCGCGTCCCTGCACACTGGGGAGGAAAGCCGGGCTCAGAGTCCTGGCGGCTCCAAGGCCCTGGATGTGGGGACAGAGAGGTGAGCTTCCCATAGCAGCTGACACAAGCAGTGGCCCCACGGTGGCCTGGATTCCTGGATCTCAGAATCTTTAATTAGCCAAACTCGACGCCTGTCGAGGAGGTGTGCCTGATGAATTCTCACCCTGTGATGTTTGCGTGGGCGGGCATTACCTGCTATGCTATCCCCATGGCTTCTGCACACACACACCCCTTATCTCTCCACAGAGCAAACAGGCCCCAGGGCAGTGGCCTGGACCATCGATTTACTGCCTGAACCTATGCTACACCCATGACAGATGCCATTCTGATGATCTGCTCAAGGTCGCAGTGATCTCCCCACCCAAGAGCCTGACCCCTCTCTGGGAGCCTGTGGTCTGCTCTGGGGGCGAAGTCCTCAGGGAGGCTTCTCACTCTGTCCCCAACTTTGGTCAAACCTCACAGAACCCCCAGAAGACAGGAAGACACTGAGGTCCTGAGTGGGGAATACTTTGTCCATGGTCACATGGTGAGGCAGGGCCAGGTCAGGCCTCAGACCCAGAGTGTCCACTCTGGGCTTTTCCCACAGTGGGTCAGAATCTGCTGGCAGCTTTCCTCAGGCAGGGGCTATCCCCTGAGTCTACTCCGATACCTGATGCAAAGGAGCCTGGCAGGCAGCAGGCCTGAGAGACAGGAACTGTCAAAAATGGGCTGCCGGGCTTCCCTGGTGGCGCAGTGGTTGAGAGTCCGCCTGCCGATGCAGGGGACACGGGTTTGTGCCGCGGTCCGGGAAGATCCCACATGCCGCGGAGCGGCTGGGCCCGTGAGCCATGGCCGCTGAGCCTGCGCGTCCGGAGCCTGTGCTCCACAGTGGGAGAGGCCACAACAGTGAGAGGCCCGCGTACCGCAAAAAAAAAAAAAAATGGGCTGCCAGCCTCAGGAAATGCCTGGAGGTCCACATGTCAGGCCAGTCCTAATCTCTACCCTGGCCCCCCAGCCCTTAGCCTTGCCCTAACTGAAGTACAGATTCCTTGACCTCAACTTCAAGGCCCTTTCAGGCTTGTCTATAGCCACGGAACCTTCATTCTATCCTCACAGCCTGCCTTATACCATACCTCAGGGCCTTTGCCCATGCTGTGCACTCTGCTTGAGATACTCTTTCTTGTTTCCACATCCTGGGGGCTCCTGCTGGAATTTCAGAACTGGCTCCCTCACCTCCTCCTCCAGGAAGCCTTCCTTGATGCCCCTCTCTCTTCTTTTTTGAGTCCCAGCACTATGTGGCTTGGTTAAACACCACACTATGTGCTGGGGTTCCCCTGCAGGAGCCATAGGGTGGGGGATGTCTGTGGGGGTTTTGTCCCTTCCAGACTGGAAGCCACTTGAGGAGGGGTATTCCATGTCCTCTCTGGGATCTCAGGCCAGCCTGAGACCCAGCAGTGACTGGTCGTGAGTAATAAGCAGGACCTGAAGGTCTAGGCCCAGGTCCTGCTTGAGGGGATGGGGAGCCTGGAGCCAGGGCCTCAGGCACTTTGGCCATGACCATGCCATGGGCTGTGGTCTCCCTGGAGGCATTGCCTGGCTACTAGGGAAGAATATTAAGCCAGAGAAGAGTGCTTTGTCCAGGCTGCTGACTCAGCACACTCTGAGGGCCTGTCCAAGCCTGCCCCAGGCGGAAGGCCAGGCAAGGGCAACCCTAGCTGAGAGCCAGGGGGCACTCTGGAGTGACTCTGGAGACCAGGTGCTGGTATCCTTGGAGGGGTGCTGTTGGTGAGGCTCAGGGCAGGGGCATGAAGAAGACAGGCTTACCTTAGGGACTCTGGTCCAGGGGAAGAGGGCGTTAGAAGAGACGCTCAAATTGTCATGATCCTATGTGGACAGGCTGGAGGAGAGAAGGGTTCAGATGCCAGCATCAGAGGAAGGAGAGGTAGGTTGAGGGGTCCAAGGGTGCCAGGTATGGGGTACTCAGGACTGAGGTACCTAGGATCTGAACTCTGGCTTGGGGCTGCCTGGGGCCATTGCAGGGAGGTCCTCTGGTCAGTTCTGTGGGGCTGCTGCCTCCAAAACACCAGGGCCTGTGGCCTGAGGCCCGAGTCCTGAGCCTAGCCTCCCCTACCCACCCTAGCCCTGAATGCTGAGTTTGAGACCCCTGGTGCTTCAGCTTCAGGAGCAGACCTGAGACCCTCAGGATCTGGAGTGGGGATGGGGGATTTGGGGCAGGATTCAGGGTTCCCAAGCGGAGGGGGTGCCATGACATCAAGACTAGCCTCTGGCTGACCTGCCTGGCAGTGCTGCCCCCTCCCTGGTCTCCACTCTGGCCTGAGATCTCCTGCTGGCCTATCTGGCCTTCAGGATGTCCTTATAGATCCTAGGGACACTATGCCCATGTACCTTCTGGGCATGGGGTAGGTGGCTCCCAGCGCCAGTGACGGGAGAGGGGCTAGTGAGTTGTCTGGGCAGCGGGCAGAGTTGGGCCTGGGGAGGAGGGGAGCTGATCCCTTTGGGGTCCAGCAGAGTTATGCCCTGAGCACAGGGAAGGGAAGACTGATCCAGTGGTCCAGGCCCGTCTACAGCTGGCCAAGGCTCTGAGTTCCTGACCTGGGGCTCCAGGAAGTGGGGAGTCTCCTCAAAGGGTGGGCACCTAAGGGTGGGGGGTTCCCCAGCAGGGGAGGAGAGGCTTGAAAGAGAACATGGCCCTGAGGCCAGAGCTGTGCGGAGGGTGAGGCCTGTGTGGCCCAAAGAACGGGGCCTCAGGGCACCCATTTCCTGGAAGGCCCCTAAGGGCCCTTTGCAGCCAAGCGGGCAGGGTCCAGGTGTCCAGCCACCCAGCACCGCCTTAGGCCTCCTGGCTCCGGGGGGGTAGCCTCTGCGCCTGCCGTTCCCAGCGCCAGCTCTCAGCCCACAGAGGGACCTTTGTTCTGGCTGCCAGCAAAGCCCGCCGGGTGGCTGGGAACAGGGCCCACAGCCCTCGCCCTCTCCCGAGGCCTCCAGCCGTCGGGCAGCGCCATTCTAGGTTGGCTAGGAGGCCCCTGGCACACAGGGCACAGGAAACTGTCTCCCAGTATTAATATCAGGGAGGGGCAATCAGTCCAGGACCCATCCCCAGGGTGGGGTCTGGTGGCCTGGGACTCAGCCTCCTGAGGTCCTGACACCACTGGGCTCTGAACTTAGGTCATCCAACTGAGCTTTACTTCACAGATGGTGAAACTGAGGCCCCAGGGGCTTGCCTCGGTCGGTATGTATATGTGGCAGGGGAGTGCTAGGTACTGGCTTAGGTGTCGCCTCAGAATGTCCTGGAGAACTCAGGTATCCGAGCTCTGACCCTCAATGGCAGGTTCCAGGGTGGCAGCAGGCAGAGCTGCATGAACATGTATGTCCTCAGTGAACTTCTGGGAGGTGTGCTAGAGCTGCACACTTCCTGTGGGAGTCTGGGCTGTGAGCCCAAGGAGTGGGGATAACCAGGGGGACTGCCTGCTCTTTAGACTTCTGACTGCGTCATTGTGAGAGCCAGTGTTCCTGGTGGTGGTCCCTGAGCCATGGAGGCACCTCTGCAGACGGAGATGGTAGAGTTGGTACCCAACGGCAAACACTTGGAGGGGCTACTCCCTGTCGCCACCCCCACGGCTGGCAACCAGAGGTGAGCGAGGGACTCATTCATGGCTTAGGGCAGGGCAGGGTGCAGGGCAAGGGGCTGGAGCTGAGCTGCCTGGCTGGTCTGTGCCTGCAGGGTCGAGGGCCCTGGACGGAGCTGTGTTGAGGGTGAAGGCTTCCTACCAAAAAGTCCCAGCAAGGAGCCACACTTCACCGATGTGAGCGGGGGTGGCCGTCAGGGGCTCGGGGGCACCCCTGGGAGCTTGAGGGCACTAATGAGGTGCTATGGGGCAGCGATGGGAGGCCAAGGGACGGTGCGAGGGAATGGTGATTTACCCTCCACAACTTGCTAACTCATCCCACCCCTCCCGTCTCACTCTGGTGCCTGCAGTTCGAGGGGAAGACATCATTCGGGATGTCAGTGTTCAACCTCAGTAACGCCATCATGGGCAGTGGCATCCTGGGGCTCGCCTACGCCATGGCCAATACGGGCATCATCCTTTTCCTGTGAGTGCCCTCAGCAAACCTTCTAAAGATAGGAGCCCTAAACAGGCCACCAATCCTGACCTCCCAGGACCTGCCAGTTTCCTGTCGCAAGACCCAGGCTACAGTGGGTGGGCACTTACACTCAACCCAAACCACAGCTGAAAAAAACAGCCGTGGCCAGACAAATATACCTCATTTCCCAGTAAACCCGCTGAGATGACAACACGGGGCCAGCCTAACAGGACTGAGTCTGTCCTACCACATTTACACATGAAGGATAAACCCCATGGCCAGGCCTTCTGTGGGTACACGTGTCCTTACCTCAGAGCTCTGCCCTGCAGCCTAAATGGAAAACATGTTTCTTCCAAGATCTCAAGGGGAGGTGGTGCTCAGAGGGTCCCTTCTGGGTCATGGCCACCCTGGGTCAGCCCAGGTGATGTCCACCACCCTTGGGGCCTGCCGAGTTTGCATCCACACATGTTGGGGGTCCAGACACCTGGGTCACAGACCCTGCACACCCAGGCCTCCCGGAGCTCATTGCCCCCTGACTGCCAGAGGAGCCCCAGTGACCTCTTTTCGTCCACCTTCCCCAGGTTCCTGTTGACGGCCGTCGCCTTGCTCTCCAGCTACTCCATCCACCTGCTACTCAAGTCCTCAGGGATCGTGGGTGAGCCCCAAACCTGGCCTGTAGCAGGGAGGGGTGGGCTGGGGAGAGCACTCCTGACTGTCCTGATTCCTGTCCCCACAGGCATCCGTGCCTATGAGCAGTTGGGCTACCGTGCCTTTGGGACCCCAGGAAAGCTGGCGGCAGCCCTGGCCATTGCACTGCAGAACATCGGAGGTGAGGCTGATGGGCAGGTGATGGACGGTGGACAGGCTGAAGGCTGGCTGGTTTGGCTGACCTGCCTCTCTCCCCCCAGCCATGTCCAGCTACCTGTACATCATCAAGTCCGAGCTGCCCCTTGTCATACAGACCTTCCTGAACCTGGAGGAGCGGACCTCGTGAGCCCCAGGGTGGGGCGGGGCTGGGTGAGGGTGGGAGGCCCTAGTCTAACCCTCTATGTCCACCACTAGCAGAGCCCAGGCTGGGCTAGTGGGAGAGACAAGACAGGGTGGAGGTGGGGCACAGAGAGCTGCCGGCAGAGCTACCATTCAGTGCACACTTGTTTATGAAGCACCCTAGGGAAGACTCCCAGGAGGGCCATGTGGGGCAGGGGGTAGTCTGAGGCTGAGGAAGCCGGCCCGCCTAGCCGTGGAACCAGCCTGTGAGCACAGAGCACCTGAGAACCTCAGGCTTAGCTCTAAGCTCCTGCTATTCCTGACCGTGGCTTGGGTGTTAGCCTCCCCACCACCTCGCCCCAACCAAGAAATTAAGCCTACAGTGTCCCAGTTGCCTATCATCAGTTTAGCCAGTTCTCATGGCATAAGCATGTTCTGTGGGTAGGAGCAGAGAAGATAGCCAGGCCCTGCCCTTGACAATACAGCCCCAGCAAGCAGAAAGGCTGCATGGCTGCAAGCAGCTCTGGGAGGAAGGAAACAGCCAGGATTCTGCCGCCAGGCCCTGGGGGCCTTTCCCAAGGAGTTGGCCTTTGGGTTTGCCCTTGAAGGAGGGTCTCATTCCTCATCCCTTTAGCTCCCTGTGTCCACTGTCCATTGAGGGTGTGGGGCAGGATGATGCATGATGCAGATGCTGGGGGGAACCACAAGGAGCTCAGGTGGTTGGCAAGTCCCTGAGACCCCCATGGAAAATGCCTCACCCCCCAGACCCAGGTCCTTTCATCCCACCCACCCCCACGGGCCCCTTGGGGCCACTCCATGGGGAGGATGGACCCAGACCTGTGTGTCCTAGGAAAAACAACCACAGTGACTATAATTGTAATGGTTACCAAGCAGGAGCTGAGTGTATTAGTCCTCACCTTGTCCAGGAGAGTGTTGGGAGTGGGCCCATTTTGCAGACGGGGAAAGGGAGGCTCAGAGCTGTGGACAAGTATTCTTCAGAGGTCACTCAGTGGCACCACGGGTAACCCCGGCTGGGGGTCAGGCGGCCCCACCACCCGAGGCTGAGTGGACTCTAATATCGGCTCCCCACTCCCATCCCTGCAGGGACTGGTACATGAATGGAAACTACCTGGTGATCCTGGTCTCTGTCATCGTCATTCTGCCTCTGGCACTGATGCGGCAGCTTGGTGAGTGTGGCAGGGCCAGGGCCTTAGAGGGATGCATGGGAGGGGACCTTTGGTCTCACCTCCCCCTCCCCAACTTTACAGGCTACCTAGGCTACTCCAGTGGCTTCTCTCTCAGCTGCATGGTGTTCTTCCTAATTGCAGTGAGTTACCCTCCACCCTGGTCGAGGGAGGGGGGCAGGTCTTTCTGGGAAGCCTGGGTCAGAATGCAGCTGCTCCAGTCCTGATCTAGGTGTGGCTTCACAGTGACTTCCCGGGCAGCCTAGCCTGGCCCTGATACCCTCCTCCTTCCCTGCCCCCACCTAGGTCATCTACAAAAAGTTCCACGTGCCCTGCCCGCTGTCCCCCAGTTTAGCCAACGTGACAGGCAACTTCAGCCTGGTGGAGGTCATCAGGGAAGAGGCAGGGCTGCGGGCCGAGGCGGAGGCCGCAGCCTTCTGCACCCCGAGCTACTTCACCCTCAACACACAGGTTGCAACAGACCAGGGAGGGGGCGGTGGGCCTGGGGAGAGTGTCAGGGGCTGTCCTGACACAGGATCCCTGTTTTGCCAGACGGCATACACGATCCCCATCATGGCTTTCGCCTTTGTCTGCCACCCTGAGGTGCTGCCCATCTACACAGAGCTCAAGGAGTAGGTATCCGTGGCTGGGAGAGGGCGAGGGGGCTGCCTTGAGTTGGTCAGGGGAGAATGGATGTGGTCCTAAAGGGAGGAAAGAG